GGGGGGGGGGGGGGGGGGGGGGGGGGGGGGGGGGGGGGGGGGGGTTAGGTTAGCCAGCGTAGGGAGGTAGTCACAGATTTAAGTTACATACGGCCCCACGCATGCCTGAAGGACGGCAAGGGGGGCACACCGTTGGGAATTACGCCCGGGTGTATGCTACACACATCTTGAACAGGTCGCCCCCCCGCCGTACCCCGTCTGCCTGGCGATTTTGTTGCATTCTGTGTATGTGTGCAGACGTCATGTGAGCGTGAAGAAAAGGGACGGCAAAACTCACCGTTTGGAGTCTAAAATATTGCTGCCCTTCCTTCCACTCGTTCCCTCCTCCGACACGACCAAACGAACGAACGCGCCGCCCCACCTCCCCTTCACCCCCCTCTCTCCACGATGGTTTCCTCTGCGGATTCCCCCCCCTGCCCGATTCCGCGTGGACCCGGTGTGGAACTCCCAGAACTGGTGGAATTCGTGCGAACGCTTCCGGGGGACTCCGAAAAGACGGAGGCAATTTTTGATGTGAGTTTTCAAGGTGTTTGTGGGGCCGGATGGGGGGAGTGCGTACTGTACGTGTAAGTAACACATTCCAGCTTCTTCTTTTTTGCTGGATGAACCAGCGGCGGGGGGGGGCACACACGACGCAGTGCCTGTTTGAGAAGGGACTTCGTGGTGGGGCTGGTGGGTGGTGGTTGGTTGTCCCCCACTCCGTGGCAATTCGTCGTCGTTCTCACGCCGTGGTGTTGACCCGAGTATCAACGTGTTGACACTTACTCCGCCAATGAAAAGTGCGTCGATTGGTTCTATTAATAGAGCAGGGGGGGTGTACTCTTGCGATCTTCCGTCGCGGGTCATACAACACCAGAGCCTGGAGAAAATGCCGCGCGTCCACGCTGGAATAAAAAAAAAAAAAAACGTAGGAGCTCTCGCTTCCCTCTCGGCTTGTCCCCCCCGCTTTATTGTGCGCCTCTCTGCTGCGGTTCCCCCTTTGGAATGGCAAGCCAATATTGTACTCATCGTCAAGAGATATCATCCCTTCTCGTGTTCTGTTTGAAGACAAATTGCTTGTGTTCCCCCTGCTCCTCCGTACCTGTACATGCGGCATTTCCGTCGCCCCCGGTGCCTTCACGCGCAAGCCCAACGTTTTGCACCCCGGCATGTTGCGTCGTGACGGAAATCAATCACGCTCGCCCTCGATCTCCTCCCCCGTGCCGACTTTGCCACACGACGTATACGATGTTTGTTGCGCTCAATCAGGTTGGGTCGGAGGTCGTGCAGAACCTGGCTGATAGAGCCAGCAAGAGATTCAACGGCCTGCTGTCTGGTGCCAGCGGCGGCGGCGGCGGCGGCAGCGACGCTGGGCGATGATGCCGGAGCCGCTTTGGGGTTTGAGGACACGCCTACCCCCCACCCCCCGTCCTCGACTAGCCTTACTAAATTGTACAAGACGTTTGGGGTATATGTATTGCCCGCGAGGCCTCGGTAGGGGAGAGGCAACCTGGATCATGGCACGGCTGCTGTAGCTTTCAAGATTACCATCAAGCGTCCGTCCCATTCGTTTCTTGGAAGTCGGGACGGGGCTTGCCCTGTTTTTGGAGGACTATTTAGGCTGTGGCGGCTGCGGTACGCGACCGGCATGCGGGCGTCCCGGCGAGCCGCATCTAGAGGCATTCCGGCGAACGCCAATAACGGGACGGAGCCGGCAGAAAGCCCCCAAAAGTTTGGGGGTGGTGGAATATGTACGGAGCCAATAGGCGGCAATAAAAAAATAAATAAACCGGGAACGGGTGTGTTGTGCATAACATTTTCGGCTCTGTCACACATTTATGCCTCCCCATTTTGGCGAATTCGATTTAAAGTGCGACATGTTCTGTGTTTCGTCGTGTGCTTCCCGGAATGTTGCACGTGTCAATAGATTCGAGAGGCTGGGTTGTACATCTTCGTGAGATCGCTTTTCAGCGGGCTCGCTTGCTGTGAATAGCTGAAGGTGGGTTGGGGTAGGAAAGGGGAACTGCTGCACCAAAGAAGACAGGTGCAGGGCATCAGGATGTTTCTGCTTGGTTCTCGGCGGTTTCGAATAGGACTGCGTGCTATTTTTGTCACCCTGTGTGTGAAGTACTTGCTACTCTTACCTCAGGGCGATTTACAACCGTGGACTGACAACAATTGTAGCATAGACGAAGGGCATCGGGGCTACTTCCCCTGTTACACTGGCTAATGCTTCTTTCTTTTGCCTCGCACTCTTGTGATGTTTCCGTACAAGTAGCTGAAACCAATCCTATTCGGATTGGAATTCTACGCCTTGATGGTGGCCATCAAAGAAAACTATACCTGCAAGGAGGAGCGGGAACCTCGCTCCGGCTCTCCCATAGAACGCTCAGAACGCGCGTTATGCCTCAAACAGAGAGCCCGAAAACGGTATTTGCTGCTCCAAGTCAGGAAGCGTTCGAAGAGGGAAATGTACAACCTCGCTTGCGGTCCTCTATCCGGACGAAGAAGGCCGACACTTGGGTAGGGTCTGGTGTAGAAATCACCCGACCCCGCTCCCCCCCCCCTCGAGATCCATCGAGCATAGATAGGGCGAAATTGGTTCTCGGTTGTTTTGGCTTTTTATAAATGAAAAAAAAAAAAAAAACACTACATCAGTGGGCTATAATTTCTCGTTCTTCCTCACACAGAGGCCGGCAGCGGTCCAATCCAATCCAATCCAATCAACGCCATCGATCCCCGGGTGCTTGTGCCCGAGGAGGGTGGGGGAGGCATTTCGTCCTCACGTTCACGTAAGGCGGCCAAAATTCCTATGCCCGAGAAAGGACGTTCGCCACCTCAACCTTCACCCCCAACAACAAGGATGACGGATGCAGCTCGACGGATCGGACGCGTTGGGTTTCTGGGGGCACTGCACGATCAAAGTTCATAGGGTGGCGGGACAGAAGTTGTGTGTGGCAATACTCAAGTGTCTCCCCTTCCACCACAGACGGCGGCGGCGGAACAGTCGGCGAAAGCCAACGCCGATCACAATCTTTTTGCAACCCTACAGGACGAGCACGCGGAGACGACGACGTGTGCCGACCCCGCGCACCAACAACCCCAAACTCCACGCTGTAACGCAAGCGCGCAGGGACCTATTCTACGTCTGCGACAGGATGATACCAAGCTCCCCGAGCAAAACAGATAAGGAGGAAGGGCGCATGCTTGGAAAAGGGTCGGGGGCACACGAACAAATCCCCCCCCCCCCCCC